GGTGTGAAATGTGGTGAAAAGTCATTTATATGTTCGTTCTTCAAAAGACATTTCATAGCACAGATTATTTCTCCACTCTCAGCCGTCTTTTTGTTCGGCTAGCCTTTCCCGTTTGCTTTCTGCTCGTCTGGCTGTTCATTCTTTGCCGTTCATTCGATTTTAGAGACTTCAATCACGACGGCAACGGGTACAACGGCTGTGTACGAATGCGTTGTAATTCTTCGCTCATTTCTTTGACGTTCTTTACAAAACAACAACGTGAAATAGCCACATTCTGCGTAGAATGAAGCTTGCGGCTGACTGTCAGTTTCACGTTGGCAGAAAGAAAGAAATTCTTCTTGGGATGTCCGCAGCTCTTGAAAGAAATATTTTCGTTCTCCTGGAATGTCGTTACCTTCTACATTCTTGTTTGCAGAATTCTTCTAATGATGTCCTAGAGAACGTCAAATACGAAAGCCAATTTTTGAAATTTCTTTTCCGAATTTTGATGCTATCTTACATAGTCTGTTTTGGATATCTCTGACAGTGATAGAAAAACGGAATGAATCTAAATTCTTGCGAGATTCGTGGGTTGCATTTCAATCGACGTTGTCCCTGGCATTGTTGCTTAAACTCCCTTTTGTTGTTTGGGCGGGGAGCGTCTATCTGCACTTTGGACCATCTGTTTGTTCGGTCACGTTGTGTTCGGGCATTCGTTTGCTTTGCACTGACTCGTTTGGCTGCTCATTTCTCTACCGTTCATTCAGTTTTTCATTGTTTCGGCAGGAGACTGCGATTAAAGTTTCAAAATGTATTCAAACAGCGACGGCCGAAGCTCTTTCGTTCCTTTGATATTCTTTGATATTAAAATATCAAAGGAAGGCATCCTCATAGTGCTGGAGGTTTTCCTTAGCTTTTTTTTTTTGTTTTTTGAAACAAAGCAACACATAAACAAATCCTCCGCAAAAACATCCACGCAACGCGCGAGCAACACGCGGACGAACTGGGTACCCTCTGTAAAAAATAACTTAAGGGGGATAATTACCCTGGGTATAAGGCCTTCATGGGTGATTCACCCTCTTATCTTGATCTTTTCTTGGTCCATAATAATTCAACAAATACGAGTTAGTAAAAATCAATTTCTTAGCAGCACTTTTGGATGAAAGCCTATCTTCTGCGATTTAACGTGCTTCGCATTCCTTCGATGCCTGCCTTGCGGTTCGTGGAAGTCAAAAGAAGCTGAGATGCTTGTTCAACGAAGACGACGCTTCTAGTCAAAGGAACTGATATTGCTGAATCGATTATTCGTTTCTGATATCCTGACAATTCTACAACAGACTTCTAAAGGGCCATTCCCATGCTAGCTATACTTTAAACTTTTGGTAACAAAGCTGATAATATGCTTTCTGTTTTCCATCTGTGAAAATAAATGTAACCAATCCTCGCACGCTGAGCATCGACAAGCCACAGAGATTCCAACACCGTTAGATGAAAAATAGGACTTAACATGTAGCGCCGTTGGCACAATCACAAGCGGCGAAGGCGCAATTTAAAATACTACATGCAGAGCCATCCAGAGGCATCAGTGCATCCCCAGTACATTAAGTTCTCTCAAGAGCCATTTCCTGCTTTTTGGCCTCAGAGATTCCAAAACATACTAAAGATTAGCAATTACTTTGATTTCTAGTTTTAAGATTTCAGTTTTGTACTAGGTTTATTTGTGTTGCCTACTGTCATTTTTCATGGAGCAAAAATTCATACACGGAGTTCTCAAGGAGTTTCGGCGGAAATGGTTAATTTCAGGAGTATTTTTAAGCACGCGTTCTTGAAATTTAATTAAATTCCAAGAGTATTCACGACCCCTGTACGAAGAATGCAAGCCATAGCTGCGAAAAAAAATTCTGCAAGTTTTTCTGTCGTTTGGTGTAAAGTTATTACAAGTGATTTTTCTAACCTTCAACAATGGTTTCCTTCTTGGGAGAAACTAATTCTGTCAAATCATCTAGCTTTTT